TGCTCTGCACGTCATTGACAGGACGCTTTCCCTATGTTTCTCCTAGTGCTGCTTCATAAAAAAAGATGGAAAGAAATTCATAATCGTTTTTCTCAGCTGCAGTTTAGACCATAAACTGCGTTCTCTTCCTCTGTAGGCTTGGATAAGAATAAACCAACATTTTTGAAGATCCTAGAGGCAAGTAAATGCTCTCTCCTCCCTCTCTGGCTTCAAGTTGCGGTTTGGCTGCCGCCTGGCAGGGACCAGCCTGGCAGGGACCAGCAGCATCCAGCATGTGGACGTGAGAAGCTTCCTAGAGACGCGAGAAAAACTGGATGTTTTTCAATGCCTCCTCCCCGACACACACCCCAGACAACTACCTCAGACGGTCTCTTGGGGTCTCAGGATCAGAACTGTGCCTGAGGCAGCTGACAGACTTGAAAAAAAAACCCTCGATTCTCGGGGAGACTTGCCAATGTTGTTGCTAGGTTCCATGTGGAGAAAACATTTGCGTGAAGGAGCAGCCCGACTGTGAGGAGAAAGGGGGGCCCCCGTGGAATCCCACAGAGTTTTCTGACAGCCCACTCTCCCCATGAGTGGGGAAGACCTCGGGACAGACAGAGAAGGAGAAAAATCTGGAGAGATGGTCCCTGGTGTGGGCCGGTTCAGCTCAGCATCGGCCCCTTCCCCAAGGCTGCCATTCAGCCCAACACTTGTGGGCACCTCCCAGGTACGCGTGAAAGGGCATAACGTATGAGCATCTGCTGATAGACTCATATTCATCACTTCACAGATCATTTCCTTTGCTTTCAACGTGCACGCCAACGCTCTCACACAAAGCCACCGTGAGTCATTTCTGCTCCTTGTTCTTACTCCCCTAACCCAGAAGGCCCAGGTCCCCACTGTCACAGAGCCTCCTGCTGGCCGGTCACATCATCTCGTCCTTCTGCATCTGGCCTGCCTCCTACTCAGACCATTGGTCATCTGAGAAAAGTCAGAGACCAGGTCCATAGCCAACAATTTGTACGCCGAGTGTTGAAATGGGAGAACTTCCTAAGCAATAGCATTTTCAACCACTCTTCAGCAACTGGTGTTTCACAAACGGTTCTTTCAAAGAGCCTCGTTTCATGTGAGCAAGCATTTGCTGACTCACTCAGGGAGCACACAGCTTCCAGGAAGTTTGGTTGGCAATACATGCTGGCTAAAAAAACCAAGGCAATTGTTTTTCCATTATTCCATGACCAGCTGGCGAGAGGATAAATACCAAAATAGGAATTTCTCCTTCAACATGAAGTCATGGAGACCACAGTGAGACAGGCTGGTCCTGTTACTGGCTGCCCATCTCAAATTATTTCAAATGTTGCTCGGTTCGAGCTCATAAGCTGTCAGCTGCAAATCTTCAACTCCTCCCGCTTGTGTCACCGGAGAATCGTTCCAATGCCAGAACCCAAACATGCTCAGATGTAAAGAAATCAGCTCCCGAACGAAAAATTTGATTATTGAAATTACAAAGGTAGATTCTACTTAGAATTTCAAAATCATTAAAGTCTTTCCTGAAGTCTGATTTTAAGAAGAGAATCCAGTAACTGGGTCACCAGTTCCTGAGAGAAATATCAGGGATGGCTGTTATGTTTCAAGCCTTTACTTCCATATTTATTATTATAACACTATTGTATTTCTGTTATAACCTTATTAAAACACAAAGGAAATGCTGGGAATCCAAATTTACTCATCAGCATTACAAAACAAATAACAACAATAGGGGAAGAAACTCAGTTTAGCAGAAACCAGGACTTTCCTTTGTAGCCCTGTCCTGAGCTCACTGCCCAGAGCACAGACCGGCTCGAGCCGGACATCACAAACTCACCCAGACTCCACCTCGGGGGCCTTAGTTGTGAAATGTCCTCAGAAATACATGATTCAAGGGGCGTCTGGGTGGCTCAGTTGGTTAAGTGACTGCCTCCGGCTCAGGTCATGATCTCAGGGTCCTGGGATGGAGACCCGTGTTGGGTTCCCTGCTCAGCGGAGAGCCTGCTTCTCCCTCTGCCTCTCTCCCCCGCTCATGCTCTCCTGCTCTCTTTGTCAAATAAATAAATAAAATCTTAAAAAAAAAAAAAACCTTAAAAAAAGAAATACATCATTCAAGGGCATTTGATCTCAAGTTGACTTTTACTTATTGTTTAGATTTTAAGACTTGGCATCCGCTTTGCAGAGGGGGTAAGCTCTTCATGAGCAACTTTGGGAAGTTGGCTGCATCCAGGAATTCTGAGATATTCGGTTGCTAGGTGACATAAATCCACTTCTTAGAAAGTGTCACAGAACAGTCTAGAAGTGGTTGGGCCCTGAATTTAAATTATTGGTCAGGAAAAGCTTTGAAACTCTCTGAAGATAGGAAAGAAGAATAAGAAAAGGTGAGGCACTGAGAAAGACTGGCCTGAACTAAGCTCATAGATTTGGCTTAAATGATTTAAGAGAGCGTGAAAAGTCTAAATAGAAATTCAGTGTACCATCTTGGAAGTTCAAGAATGCCGGGATTAACCTTAAGTGTGAGCATAAACCACGCTGTTGAAATTGTTTCTAAGAGGGAGAAGAGCTTGAGAGCCAAAGTTTACAAAGCATCCTGTTTGTAGGACTGATTTTTGCTGGGGCAACATCCACGGAGTCAATGGTCTTTTTGGCGCATGTTCTCAGTGCCAAGCTGAGGGATGATGGGAATGGACAACTCATGGCCCCTGCGCCCAAGGGTTCCCAAAGACACTCCAGCCTCCATTTCTGCATCTGGGTGACAGGAAACACTCTGGTGTGCCTGCTTTGGGCCAGACACACTTCGAAACACCCGATTCACACTGATGATTCCATTCCCATAGCAACCTCGTGAAGAGGTGCTAGAGTCGTCTCCTTTTTACAGGTGAGGGAACGGAGGCAAGGCTAAGGAGCTGGCTGTGCCAGTGTTGGGTGGTATGATCTTGCCCTTGCAAAGCTGCCCTTCTTGCCACATCTGTTGAAATGGATCCAGGTCCCCTAAATGTGTTCCCTCTGTTTGTGGGTACAACGCTAAGCTTTGTTGGTAAAGGAGACAGAGACACGGCGGGACAGAAGGGTGCTGCTTCCTAGGTCTGAGACGTTTGCTCAGCAGGCTCCTTTGAGTCAGGGGGCGCCCCCTCGCCCCCTCAGGTGGTACTGCAGCAGAATAACATCTCCCCAGCCCCCGCCCACAAGCATCCTAGAGAGCTGGCTTCCAGCAAATTCCAGAAGGTGGGTTTTCAACAAGACCCATCAGCAAGGGACCATAGGAATGTCTGTCACCTGCTAAGCCACATCCTGTCTGGATGTCAGCTCAGGGCAGGAGGGGATGTTCTTTATGGGGCCGTGCTGCTTGGGGCCATCCCCACCTGCATGCTTTCGAGTTTCTTCTCCTCACTAGCCAATCCCTCGTTCCTGCACTCCCTTTATGGTAAGTAATTATATACATTACACTTTTCCCGGCCAAGTTACTGTGCGGTTTCTCTCTCCTGATTGGATCCAGACCGATCCCCTAGCCTGAGGGCAAAAGACTGGGGAGCAATGCAGCCAAGACCTGAATCCGGAGTCTGCTCCAGACCATGTTGTTCATCATCTCCTGTTGGCAGGGCCTGATACCATGTGCCCAAAGGGCAAAGCACCAATTCATCCTGGAGGGCAGGACAGCGGGCAAGGTGTCAGGAGAGAACCCAAAGGCTGAGTTTTTAAACAGCTTTTTGATAGACACGAAAACAAAAGGCATTCCAGAAAAGGGATGGCATATGCAGCCCTGGGAGGAGGGAAGGTGAGTGACAGCCTCAGGATGGGGATGGAGGTGTCAACAGGGCTCCTGCTTAATCCCCCAAACCTCCTTCTCATTCTGGGGCAATTCTTAGTGAGATGGGAGGCGTTCAGGATCCTAAACCTTGCTCTTGAGTTTCCTTGCTTCTCTCAAGCCTCTCTCCGGGAACAGACTTGCTCTCCGGGGCTCCTGACCCGGGTGTCCTGGTGGTGAGAAGGTGGCAGAACAGGGGTCAGAGGCCCCTGCTGGGCCATGACAGCAGTCTCACCGAGCGTCATCCACAGCAGCCGCTCAGTTCATAACGCGGAATATAGAGCAGAGCGATACTTCCATTTTTGTAATAATTGCATTTATTTCCATTTTTGATAAAAACTAGTTAGTTCTTAACTCCCCAAACACACATTGGTAAATCATGAATATCATCAGTGTTGGACGAGCAAATGGCAGAGTTGGAGCCACCGGGCCATTTTCAGCAACACAGCTTTGGTTCTGGGAGGAGGGGGCTTTGCAGAAAACACTGAAGTCACCTATAATTTTTTTCCCCACCAATTCCGCTCTCATAGCTTCTGTGGAAATGGACTCTTTTTCTAAATGAAGAGAAGCACTCAGTGTGGGGTAGGGTCGTGAGGACGGCTCTGCCCATCCCAGGTCGCAGACACACAGACTGCACGCTCCCTCGTTCCTGTAAGAGCACCTGCTTACTTCCAAGGTCAGCTTCCAGCATTACGTGGCCCACACATCCAAAGAGTATTTAAACATACTGGGTGCTGACCCAAAGTGTGGATTATTGGCAAAAGTTGGGATTGATACTTAAAAAGTGATAGACGGGGGTCCCAAAAATTTGATGAAGAAAAATAACCCCCTAGATCTAGGCCCATGTGAACATATGAGGCCTTTTTCTGTCTCGGTGGAAATGGTGGCGGGGGTGGGTGGGGGGGATCAGAAGCAAATGGTAAATTCCAAAGTGGAAAACTGAGGGGACTGTATCTAGTGGTTTACATCGCGTCGGTCACCCCTCCACGGTCTGTGGGCCCATTTCCTCAAGGGTTACTATTTCTGTGTGGTTTGGGCAAGCAATTCAGGAAGCTGTGTTTTCCTTTATGAAAAAAAATCAAAAGTAAAGTGTTTCATATCATGAAGATAATGCTAAGTTTAATGGTTGATCCAGCGTTTGAAGTCATCCCAGGTCCAGGGAGTGGGTCAGCAGGGCAGCCTACGGTTAGACCGCGTTCCTTTGAAGGAGCTGGTCCAGTAATTGCTAGGGAAGCAGGAGACAAACACGTCAAGGTCAGGTTCAGCATCTGCGTACCACACACACCTGCTGGCGGCCAGGCCGTTACCTTTTTGAAGACTTCAGCACGGAGTCTGTTACTCTGTAAGATCACTCTTTTCTTTTGTTCTTCTTTTTTCTTTTTCACTTCCGGCAAGTTATTATAGATTCTGAAACAGATTCAGAAAACACGCTGAATGGTAGCGAGACACCGTGTGCCTGGGGTGGATCTGTGTCCTGTCTTGTCAGCAGGCTCTTCCATTTCAAAGACAAGACCAGCTGCAGACGGGCCATCCCGGATCAGCGAGACGCCGAGACCCAGGGTTGCCCTGACAGTCTCCAGAACAGGCCGCCGAGGTGGGGACGGCGCCAACAGGCAGAGTCCCCCACCTCCCCCGCTCCGCCCTGGGGCAAAGCTCAGAGGCCACTTGTCTACTGGGCAGGCACTTCTCTGCCCCTCCATTCTCGGAGATAATTAATGACTTGCTTGCATCAAGTGGGAGATTCCAAACCTACTGCTTTCCACTCTGTGTAAACTTGCCCCAGATACATACCCTTTTGCTACATATTTAAGCCTTCCTATGACTTAGAAAAGGAGCAGCAAATAAATGGAAGTAGCAGGAACTATACTGGAATAACACACACGTACATGTGTGTTTACCTCTTAACCTGTTGCCTTCCTAACTAAAACTGCTTCCAGATACATCTCAGGCATAAGTATTATGTTCTCATCCTGGTGTAAAATTAGGAGTTTCCAAGTTACAAGCAGGGACCAAGAGACCTTCTTCTGGACCCTTCTTTCCTACCTCTTAATAGAAACTGTGTCCGGATGCCAAATGATATTTCTGCAAGAATCCATAGACACAGTGGAGGGACTGTAGCCTGAGCTTTGGAGTTGCTATATATATGGCACATGGACAAACACCTTTTTTTTTTCATTTTCTGTCATGTCTTTAAGTCAGACAAAATTTGTTTAATAGATTCTACCTTTAAAGTAATAATTAACAAAGTATAAAAATATAAATGAGGACAAAATTAGCAGGTGACATTATCTTGGTTATTGAGCTCGAGGCGAAGCACCTGGCATAAATGTTCTTAATCCTCACAGCAGTTGAAAGAGGCATGTAGTGTTCTCTGCAGTATGACTGAGGAACGCAAGCCCCAGTGAGGTCAGGAGACTCTTGTAAAGTCCCTCAGCTGGCTAATGGTGGGCTGGGATTCGAACCTTGGACTCTCACTCTATTAACACTGTCCCCCAACCACATAGTATAAAGTGTCTGGGAAATGCTTGTTCCATTGATATGGTTTGAATGAATCAATGAACACAGAGTTGCCATATCCAGGAACTAGTCAAGAAAGGGCCAGAGAGAGGACCATAAGGAATCAGTAGAAAAGCTGAATGTCCCAAAGCTCCACAGTGGAAATCCCTTTAGATGCATAGAGACCATCGTCCTGATAATGACCATCTGAATCATGTGGGCAGTTTAAGATACAAATTCTTAGGTCTCACTCCTGGAGCTTCTGATGCAGTATTTTGTTAAAAGGGCTTCCTAAATAAATTATGGTATACCCATACAAAGCACCACACAGCAGATAGTTAAAAGCAATGAGGAAAATATGTATCTGTATCTTTCGCCACAGAAAGACCTCACAGACATATTATCAAGCGAAAAAAGTAAGCTCTGGAAAAATAATATATATAGTATGATCCCATTTATGAATAAAAATTAGATAACTGTTGATGTACAAATAAAAGTCTATTTTCAGGCAGACAGAAAGGCCGGGAAGGATACACAGAAGGCTGATAACCGTGGGTCTCTGGAGAAAGGACTAGGCCCAGGGAAATGTGGTGGGAGGGAAGACAGCCAGGAGGGACTTTAGCTTTATCTCTACTGTTTGAGTTTTTAAAACGTGATTTAACAATACAACTAATAACAAAGAATACAGAAGAAAAGAAAGCTCCAGAGTGACTGTGGGTGAGTGAGGTCTGAAAACCAGGGTCAGAGCCCACCCAGGACGCAGAGTGAAAACCCAAGTATGGACTCCATCCAGGGGATGCACCGTAACCTAGCTCCCGCATCCTCCCTGAGCCTCCGTTTCCTCTTTCGGAAAGCCACAGGGTCAGCCATCCTGTCGACCCTGAATGCTGCTTTGAGATCTAGTATTTTAACTGCGAGTCTCTGTAATAACAGCTTTGGGTTTGGGGACTGAGAGGGGAAGATCTGGCTGAAATTTTTCACTAAATTGAAAAAGGAGTACTTCTGGCATGAGGTACACACAACTCTGCACGTCTCAAACAGCAAGTCTGAAAACCCAGTGGACCCTCAGAACCCCCAGTTAGAATGCCATGAATCAGGTCACTAATGGGATGCTCCCCTTCTCCTCATTTCCCCTCTTTGACTTATAAAGAGGCTCCTTGGGGCCCCTGCGTGGCTCGGTCATTAAGCGTCTGCCTTCGGCTCAGGTCATGATCCCAGGGCCCTGGGATCAAGCCTTGTATCAGGCTCCCTGCTCGGCAGGAAGCCTGCTTCTCCCTCTCCCACTCCCCCTGCTTGTGTTCCCTCTCTTGCTGTGTCTCTGTCACATAAATAAAAATCTTTAAAAAAATATATTTAAAAAATTAAAAAAAATAAAGAGTCTCCTTGCAGATGATCAACGTTAGCCAATTATCATGGAAACGATCCTAAAAGCAGAGATTTTGTGCCTGGACTGTGGAAAAACATATTCTTCCCATTTCAGTAGTTTCTCTAAGCGCACTATCAATTGGGTTTAATTATTACAGTTCCTCCCAGTGCTACTTTATTATAAACTCATGACATTTTCTTGCATGAACTTGGCCAACATTGCTGAGGTATTACCTTCTGGTTAGGAGGCCAGGGCTCAGAAAGAATGACCGCCTTTGTGTGATCAGGTGGGTGAGAATTAGTAGGAGTCTAGAATAGCAACCAGCCAAGCAGAACAGGGAGAGTTTGCGAGCAGCAGAGCCGCCAAGCCCGCCGGGGACGGAGCGTCAGGAAGGCCAGCGTGTGGCCCTCTGTGGCTTTGCTGGCTCCCACATGCCACAGGCTTCCAAGTTTGGACTCCTTCCTGCAGGCTCTGACCCTGGCAAGGCCCTCAAGAGAAACCACCTCTCTCCTCCTCATAAAATCACCTTCAAAGGTGCACAGTAACAAACAGCACCTGCCCACAGAGATGATGAGAGTGTGCAGAAGCATTCCCATTATGAGTCTGGGGATCTCTTAGAGACCAATTACTGGGTCGGTTCAGAATCCAAGACCTGCCACTTTCCTAAGGCTTTTCCAAGAATGGCATTAACATTCAGAGGTACAATTGGACAACTACACTTCTTTTAGCCAGCATTTCAAATTCACGGCCAAGAAGACCTCAGACGTTAAAGGTGGACCTGGGAATAGTGACCCCTCTGGACAGCGCCTGGATGCAGTAGCCACCCCTCCCCTACCTCCCCCCACATTTTTCTACCCCACACAATAACCGAGTACCTTTTAGATCGCATGTGCATCTCCTTCTCTGAAATGTATCTTTCTTTGGGTTTGAACAAGTTATCTGGAATGAGATAGAAAGAGGATTAATTTCAGAAGGTATGGATATTGCACATTTCTAGAGAAACATTGTAGTGGACTTAGTACACACTTTGTTATTGATCCTTAGCCAATAGGATCAAGAGTCTAAGCCCCAACCTGCTACAGATACTGCAGGACTTGGTAGACACTCATACACCAGAAACGCTTATATTGAAATTGACAACCAATAGATTTGTCTTGACAATAAATACAGGCATGAAGTACAAGGTTGGAATCTAACACACTTTGCAGACAGTGACCCTTCTGTGTGCTTCAGGTAGCAACTATTACAGTGTGCTCTGCAGGGGGCAGTGCCAAGGTGGCACTAAACTGTGCTTCAGGGTTACCCTGGGTGTCAGGTGGAAGATCTCCACACTAGGCTCCTGGTGCCTCTGAGGACAAGGAGATCTCCCAGCTATCACCAGAGCATTTTGAGAGCAGAAGTGGACACTCACAACTGGGACCCTCCATCAGCGACACTCAACCTCTGCATCCATTCTCACAGAGGACTAGCTCTTTCCCAATCAGAAAATGCAATGGACAGCAACATAGGAATAATGTCTGCCTAGTGTCCCTTGAGAAAGTACACATGGCTGAAAATCACTATGAGTCTGGAATGTTTTCCAGTGTGAGTACATACTACTAATCACAGTGATGTTTACAGATGGCACACTTAGAAATAGTATGTATTTTTTAAAAATAGTGTGCATACCCTTTTGTAATAACTCAAATTCCCACAAGGCTCTCAGCCCTATAGACTGGCCAAGAGCCTGTCACACAAAAATGCTCTTGGGGTACGTGTTGCATGGAGTACATCTGAGAAGCTGCCACAATTTCTGGAATACCTGGACAGTGACCAGTTCACCTCCTCCACTGAGCATAAACAAATAGACAACTCAGCATCCTAGCTAAGTATCACAGAATTGACATGGGCTCCCTGTGATCTGCAGGGAAGAGCCCATGTATTTCCATTAATCTCTCCACATCAGCCTGTTCCCTCACTCAGCACTCCCGTGGAGCCACACAAGACTTCTCGGGCTTCCAAAATTATCCACAAATATACACAAAGGTGGGGTAGAGACAGGGAAACTAACCCATTTCTCCCCACTGGAGAAACAAAACACAGCTATGGATTTACAAACTGGAAACAATACAGTGGCTGAGCTTGGATTCTGTCTAGTTATTTAACATAAAAGAAAAAAATGGCACCATTATTTAATTTCAAAGACAAGATTCAAAGGAGAAGTAAGAGAGAGGACCAAAAAAATCAATAGAATTTTCCCAGGGAAAATGGCCTTCGTGTTTGGAAAGGCATGAGAGAAAGGAGCAGTCAACACGTGTCACCGTGAAGATTTCCAAGATGCCTCCCAGTGCACACCCTTGGTTTTCACTCCTGCTAGGACCAGCCCGGAGTGGAGAGCCTTGATGGGGGCGTGCCTGGGTGGCTCAGTCAGTTAAGCGTCTGCCTTCAGTTCAGGTCATGATCCCAGGGTCCTGGGACTGAGCCCCACGTGAGGGCTCCTTGCTCAGCAGGGAGTCTGCTTCTCCCTTTCCTCCCCACCTGTGCTCTCTCTCGCTATCTCTGTCTCTCTCTCTCTCTCATAAATAAATAAAATCTTAAAAAAAAAAAGAAAGAAACATCCTGATGACTTCCCAGAGAAATGGGGTGCCACCTTAAGGCAGCCAGGTCTTGGGAAAGTAATTCTGTGACTGCTTGAAGACTCCTACTCAGGCAAGGAGAAGGAACCTCTCCAAAAAAATTAGACCCAAGTCCGGATTAGCATTCCTCAGGAGCTACTCAAGATTAGGGCGTGGCCAACCCAGACAGATAATGGTGCTCCAAACATAGTTTGTAACATTTTAAAAATCTTAATCCAATTGTATGTGGTCTACTTTGGGAAATTAGATTTTTTTTAAGTTTGTTTCTTTAGAGCACCTGATACCACAATGAAGCTTTGGTTTTATTTCCAAGAGAAAACAAAAGCAAATGTGAGCTCTTTGGCACATCCACTGTTTTGTTTTCTGAACTCTTCGTGGCCTGCTGTGCCTCAGCAGAAATTTAAACTCGGGGCAGAGACGCCCATATTAGGTGCCAAACAAGCAGGTCCGCATCCAAGACGGCCAGCCCCACCCCAACTGGTGCTCCTTGGTTGCTGACTCTTGAGTTTTTGTAAGAACACCAAACCCATCTGATGAGTAGTGAGACCTTTCTGGCGAGGATGAAGGAGAGAAGCAGGGGTTCTACCTTCCTGGAGGGAGGCTCCCAACCTCCCCAGAGCAAATGGAATCCTCTCTGGCATTTGGAGGAGGGAATGGCTTGGGACGGGGGAGGGAACGGCATGTCAGACCTGAGGGGTCTGCATTACTATTTATAACAATACTCCTAGCATTTATTGGATGCTTCCCTATGTGATCTTCATACCAACCCTGTGACATGCGCACGATTTTTTACTATTTTAGGATTGGGGAACTCTGAGTGCAAAGGGCTGTTTCCCGTTTAGACTCATGAGCAAACGAGTGAGTGGCAGAGCTGGGTGTCAGGCCGAGTTAGCCCAGCTCTGTCCGCACATTCTCTTCACCTCAGAACACGGCCACCCACTCGTACTGCAGAATCCATATTTTGGTGGCCCTGGCGAGCGCTAGTCCACTTCCGAGGAGACCAACCCCAAATTTATTTCTTTTATACTCCTTCCTCCTACATCTAATGAGCAACTCCTATATCACCAGGGGATGCTCAGAAGAAAAAAAAATAGGTAAGATCCTGCCACCGTGAACTTCATTTGTTGGGGGGAGGGGGGATCAGATAATTAACAAAGAAGTAAAAAAATAGGTAAGATCCTGCCACCGTGAACTTCATTTGTTGGGGGGAGGAGGGATCAGATAATTAACAAACTGGCTACAACATATCAGGCAAGTGCTCTGAAGGAATCGAAACGGGCCCACGTAGTGGCGGGACTGGGGTGGTCAGGAGGGCCCTTTGGGGGAGGAGGTATTTATTTATTTATTTATTTTTAAAGATTTTATTTATTTATTTCTTTAACAGAGCAAGACACAGCTAGAGAGGGAACACAAGCAGGGGTGGGTGGGAGAGGGAGAAGCAGGCTTCCCGCCAAGCAGGGAGCCCGATGCGGGGCTCGATCCCAGGACCCTGGGATCGTGACCTGAGTGGAAGGCAGACGCTTAACGACTGAGCCACCCAGACGCCCCGGGAGGAGGTATTTAAACCACAACCCAAATGACCCCTGGGACCAGCTGTGGGAGGAACTTGAGCTGGGGGTGGGTAGGGGGAAACAATGAGGGCCACACGGGACGCAGCCTGAGGGAGCGAAGGAACGAGGCTCGAGGCAAAGTCAGGCCAGCAGGGGACACAAGATCAAAGACAGCAACATTCTCCACCCAGATACGCTTGACAACCACCTGGGGACCCCGACGTGATGCGGGCACTGGAAATGTGAACCAGAATCTCCAGACTATGCCATTGTGCACCAAGACTGCGAACCATCCGAATTGGGTTCTGTAAGCCTATTTAAGGAGCTTTGCAAGCCTGTTAAGGAGTTTTCCTTCAGAGTAGGAGAGATGGAGACTAGAGATGGCAGTGCTCAGACAGCGAAGTGGGGGGACTCCAGCCTCACCAACACTGCCCGTGTGCAAAGTGAGTTGTGGGCTGGGAGAAAAGGATCAGGAGGACTTCCAGACTGCAGGCCGGAGTGACCATTCATTTGATGACTGTTATGCTTTTACCTCTTTGGTGCTCTGAAGTAGAGACAAAAGGTAACTAAGACTAAGGGCTCAAAGCCCAGGGTGAGAGCCACATAAGTAAGGCCTTTGGGGGCCAGGACCAACGGTCTGCATGGCGTAGAGGGCTCCTGGGGGAGTGGTCAGCCCTCCGGGGGGAGAAGCCATGCCCAGGAGACTTCGCAGCAGGAGGCAGCTGAGCTGAATCTCAAAAGGACAGACAGTGGGCTGGAGGAAGGGTGATCCCAGGGGAGAAACACAGCAGGGCCACTGGGACCTGCCTGCAGCAAGAGGTGGTTCTCCAAGCACACATACATGCAACAGGACCCAATGGGGCCTCATTTCAAGGAACAGAAACCATCCTACATGTGCTTTGTTCAAAAATACAGCAAAATCGTATCTATCAATTCTCTTGGAAGGAAATTTTTCCTTTATGAAATTAAAGTGACTGTTGAGAACAATATTCAGCCTGCTTATTGGTCTTTTATGGATTTTCCTTGAAGCGCTGTTATTCCAATTCACTGACAGAGAGCAGAGAGAACCATGGTCGGATTTACCTCTCATTAACGTTCAAATAGAAGAGGTTTGAGACTTGTTTTCAGTTTTTTCAATAAAATTACTAAGGTAAATTGCCCATTTCTGTATTTCTGGAAAATCCTTTTTTTCCGCCTGAATCTGTTGTGTGTGTCTGGCTCATGATTGTATCCAAGCCACGGGGCCTGTTGATAATTTAATTTGGCAAAGCCAGACATGCTCAAGCCCTTGCCTCTTTCAAAGCCAGCCAATAACCAGCTACCAAGATTTTGGTGCCTCTGAGGCTGCTCTGGGCGAGTAGCTGAGCAAAAGCTGAGTCCCGATACCCCATCGATCTCTGTAAACACACATGAGTGTTTATTAACGACCCTCACCTGCTTCATGTGTGAACACACACACATCTACACACATTTCGGTGTCGCCAGGAGGCAGCAAGGGTCACCTAGACGCCAGCATGATTGGTTGTTTTGGGGGCTGGGGTTCTTCTCCCTCCACACAGAGCCCTATCTACAGCTCTGATTGCAAAGCTTCATTTTCCCTATTGAACAAGTAATCTAAATGATAATCAAGTTCACCCTGGATTTATTATTACAATGCCCTCCCAGAAGCACACTCTGCAGTCACCCTGAGCACTTTGAAGAATCCTTCAGGTACTTGCTTCCCCCACATTAGAAACACCAAAACCAAGAGATGCCTATTGGAGAGAATCCAGCA